TGGGATGTTTGGTTTCTTGTATTTGTGTTTGTGTTTTTCCCCAAAATAAATTTTTAAAACTTTTAGATGAGAGGTATTTATTAGTGTTCTAACCAGTTAAGACAACCCAGTAGAAACTTTCCAGACATCCCTATGAAGTAGGACTTGTAGAGTAACTATTGTAGTTTGTAACATGGGACCAGAGGGATGTTTAATGAAAAAGCAGACACATTCAAGAAAGTTTATTGTTAGAGACTGAATGTTTGTGCCTCCCAACCCTCAGCCAAATCCTTATGTTGACATCCTAAACTGTAATGTGATGGTAATTAGGAAGTGAGGCTTTTGGTAGGTGATGTGGTAGTATCTTCATGAATGGGATCAAGGTCCTTATAAAAGAGGCCTGGAAGAGATGCCTCATCCCTTTGAAGACAGGGGAAAAGTCAGCTATGAAACAGGAATGAGGCCTTCATGAGACACAGAATTGGCCATTGGCTAGTAGAGCATTGATCTTGAACTTCCCAGCCTGCAGAACCTTGAGAAATAAATTTCTATTGTTTATCTGCCTCCTGGCCAATGGTATGTTGTTATAGCAGCCAAAACAGCTAAGACATGTATATACCCCACTCCCATGAGTCTTACCTATTTCAGGCATTTATTTACCCCCAAAATAACCAAGTTTACAGGTCTATGGTGCCTTTCCAATTTTACATTCCTTCCTATCAACCTACATCATCTCATCTTACCATCACTGGATCTTTCTAAGTCTTCTGTTCCCAATAAACAAAGTAAAGTATAATATTTTGATCTTTCCCATCCCAAACCAAATTCACTTGTCTCTCTTGTCTGTGTGGATTCCATACTCTACATGGTAGTAGTTAAAAGCAATCTTTTGAAAATGCCAAACTAATCATGGGCCCTCCCTCTTCCTTTGATGGCTCCCCAGATTACCTTATAATGATGCCTCTAAATTTCCTATAGTGGTTACCTCACTAGCTCCATGGTTTAACTTTTACTCCTTCCCATTTATATGTTTTAGCTAAATGGGAAAATGGAAACAGACTCCTTGACTGTGATGAAACACTTGCTCCATGCCTGGATCTCCACCACAGACATCATTTCCTCCAGAAGCCTTCTCTGACCCCAACTTATCATAACACACTATTGCAGTATTTATGGCATTTATAACTGCCTGTTTACTAGTCCATGAAGCCTACTAGACTAAACTCCTTGAAAATAGAGACCTATCTGTAGAATAAGGTTGGTTCTCAGTAAATATTTATTTACTAGTGTTAGTAGAAATATAATAGCTATCAAATACTGAGTGCATACTTTAGCCAGGCACTGTGCTAAGGATTGTACACAACAATCCTTGATATTAAATAAAAGATGAGAGGTATTTAGTTACATTTACTGAGTGCTTTCAGTATATCAAGACTGTGCTATGAGAAACATTATCTCGTTTAATCTTATAAACAACCCTATAAAATGGGTACTGTCATTCCATTTACACCTGAGTCAAAAAGGTTAAGTAGTAGAGCTGGGAAAAGAATCTGGGTCTTGGGTCTTTCTCGTTCGGAAGTCTGTACTTGCCCAGCTGGTGTTGCTCAGTGGTTGAGCATCGACTCATGAACCAGGAGGTCGCAGTTTGATTCCCAATTGGGGCAGATGCCTGGGTTTTGGGCTCAATCCAGTGGAAGATATGCAGGAGGCAGCCAATTGATGATTCTCTCTCATCATTGATGTTTCTATCTCTCCCTATCTATCCCTTCCACTCTGAAATCAATAAAAACATTTTTTTAAGTCTGTGCTTTTTAATTATTATGATATACAATCTCCCCAACTAGGTTCTATTTCTCAGTCTACCCATTTCATACAATCCTGACACAGCTTCTAACATGTTCAAGAGTAGCTTGTTTCACAAAGGAAGAAAAAAAACAAACACAATCTTATCTTCCCTTTGAGTTGCACAATAATCTTATTTTGTTCTCTTTTTGGACCCAAAGATTCACTCTTGCCATCACCACCTGTGAATCTTTTGTCTTTGCCTCTAAATTGTGTCCTTTAAATTGATATAGAGAAGATGATTAGTAGCTTAAATGGAGAAGGGCAGAAACTTATAACCTAATTCATAAATTCTTTCTCTGGGAAAACAGAGAAGAGAATACAGTTGGGGCCAGGAGGATCACTGCCTGGATGAGGAAACAGTGACACAGTCTGTAAGCTGAAGCTTTATTTTATAGTCAGAGCACACAAAGCAAAACAAGGGGAGTGGTCAACATGTTCACAATGTTCTTGCCAGTTTCTTACTCAAGCCTTGTTTTGGCAGCACTTGCGGCACCTCCCACAGACTATCTATGAACAAGGGAGTACTAAGGTCAAGATTAATTGTGCTAGGAGGGCTCTGCCTTTCAAGCTGGGTCTTTTATGTGGCCCTGCGACAGGTCAGTCCGAGGCTTGACCCTATAGCCCCTCCTTACAGCTTAAGAAGAGAAACAGGTCAGATATCAAGGAAGAGGGGGCAAATAATTAAATGGCTGGATGATATGTGGAGCAATAAATAAAAAACCACAGCCACCGAGTCACATCACATCAAGCCTGTAAGATCTAAGGCAACATTCTTCACCAGATTCCTTTTCTGTGAAATGGAGATAACAAATGCACGCATGCACTTCATAGGATCATTGTAAAGATTAAACGGGTTAATACAAGTAAAGCATTGAGAACATTTAGAACATACATGGCCATCAGTAAGCATTGAATAAATCTCGGCTGTACTATTACTATAGTTGGGTTTACAGATTTCTGAAAAGCTAATGAAAGGTACAGATCCCTGAGTCCATAATTCAGATCTAGAGTCAAACTCCAGGTCTTAGTGGAGGGGAAAAAAAAAAATTATATATATATATATATTTTTATATATATGGAGAAAGAGAGAGAGAGATCCCAAATGATGCTGAGACCCAAGAGCCCAGAAATGAAAAAGGAGTGGTCCAAGCAGGTGGAAGTCTCAAAAACAAAACACAATGAGGTTACAGAATGAGGAACTAACAAATAACAAGAGCTAGCAATTCATGTTGCAATGAGCAAAGGAGACGATTTTATCAAGTTTTGCAAATGCAAAATACATTTGTATTCCACCTGTTGTTAACAGTAACTTATGTTCAACAAAAACTTAAAGAGTATATTCGCTTCAAAGTCATCAAGTGTTATCAGTAGAAAAGGCAGTGGTTAAAACACACACATACACACACACACACACACACACACACAAAACAAAAACAAAAACTGAAGTATCATGGAAGAAAGAAGGGCAGTATGACTTCGATAAGTCTCGGTACACTGGAGGTTTGCAGACAGGTGGTCTCCCTTCTCCCATCTCCCCTAGCTCGGGGAGTCCCCGCCCACCCCTGCAGGGATGGTCACTTCTCACTGTCCCCACCGCCCAACCTTTCCCCTCCGCTGGACCCCACACCACTGAGAACTTCCTCAGAAAGAGAACAAAGGGCCAGAGAGGAGGATAGGTTGAGGGAAGAAAGCTAATCCTCAATCCCTTCGTCAGGAAGCACAGGGCCAGGCCTATCGCTTACATGTGAATGTCGTTCGCGGGGAGACATGGAAGAGGGAACTGACAGATCGGGATAAAGGCTGGGAAGGAGAGCGCCTAGGAGGTGAGAGGGAGGTTAGGAGAGTTGGAGGGCTGGAGGCAGCATGGGATCAGGAAGAGGAAAAGGAAAAGGAACTAGGAAAGAAAGGGCCGACTGTTAGGACTGGGGTTGGGAGAACGGAGGAAGCGGAGAACGGGCTGAGCGGTAACACAAAACGCCCGCGGGTGCCGGCCGCTTACCTTGCTACGCCCCCCGGAGGCGACGCGCTGCTGCGAGCTGGGGGCGGGGAAGGCCTGAGACGGGATGTTCAGCATCCTGGACCCAGGCCCGGGCCCCGCCCGGGGTCCGCCGCTGGACAGGATCGCTAGGCTGGACCCCTCCGGGATTACACCTCCCGCTCCGGCTCTGGGGCCGGGCAGAGGCCGAGGCCCCGACCCACTTCCGGGGTCGCCCGGGGTGAGGCGCGCCGTGACGCAGCACGTCGAGCCGCCGGGGGCGGGGCCAACGTGATGGACAGGGAGGTAGCTGGGGAGGGGCCGGGGAGGGGGGACGGAGTACGCATGCACCATTAGTTCTGCCTGAACTTCAGCACCTCAGGGACGTGACAGCTATTCTGCTTAAGATAAAGAGAGTGAAACTGTTCCTTAGCCTTGGTGCTGACCGAGTCTAAGACGAAATGCTTGCAGACACACCCACGAGTGTCTGTCCACTGTGAAACAAGCTCTACTAGCATTATACAACTTAGAATTTTGATTTCTCTGAAACCCTCTCCTCTAAGGCACCAAGCTGTACAGGAAGGAGAAGCTTTAAAAGCCAAGGTGTCAAATGCAAACAGCCACACTCCTGTGGGGTGAAGAGAAAACTTCTCCTTTAAGAACCCTAGCTAATGACTGACTTTATGAGTCAAAGGCATTAGTAAAGTCTTCTGCTCCATTCACCTGTTTATGAGTTTTTCCTCTTCATCTAACTTCCTGCCTTCCCTGAAAAATACAAGGAATTGTATACTGATGCAGCTCACCCCCAATTGCAGTATGTAAGAGTCAGGTACCTCTGCATTAGAAAGGCCTTATGCAAGGTACTTTAGTCTATCAATCCCTCAGTTTCCCATCTGCATAATGAATTTATGTTTTAGTAAGGATTAAATGAGATGATGTAAAATGTATAAGACAGTGCCTGGTCAAAGGAAGGCCCTCATACTTATCATTGGGTATACAAATTAATTTGTATTTTCTTAAATTCTGAATGCATGGCATCATGTAAATATGCACTCTTTGGTGGCACCCAGATTTTTTCATTCAGCATGATGATTTTGAGATACATCATATTATAGTGGGGGGATAAGGACACATATGTAATACTTAATCAATAAAGAAAAAAATAAAAGAAGGCACTCAATAAATGGCAGTAGTTCTTCAATCTATTCCAACATATTGATGAGAAGCACAAACACCAAGTACGCAAACAAAAAAAAGTCTTTAAACCTCAAGGTTTCAGATTGGAGACCTGGTGTGTATTTTCCTTGGGGAACACACACATCCTGAGGACAGAATGCAGTGAAGGGAGAAAGTTTTCAGAAGAAATATAGTTCTAAATAACTCTCCACATCCTTATTCCATTAATAATTTTTCCTGAGTGTGAACTATGGTTTGAACTTGCCCTATTTTAATTGCCTTGTTTTTAAAGTGCCTGTAAATTAATGTCTGTTATTTTTTTTTCTTCAATTAGAAAAGAAAGTGAGGGGATATAAGTAGCCATTCAAGTAAGAGGCATTTCTTAGATATATAACCAATCACAGACCTTTACCTCTGCTAATTATCATTCTGAAATATCGCAGAAACATTCTTTATTTGCAATTGAAATGTATATTGTGAAAAAAATTGTATTTGAGCTAAAAGGAACTTCATTCATTTCTATAATTTATTCTGTTACCTTTACCTTGCAAAGTACTCTTTTTCTCTCACATTAAAATAATTGTATTCTTCTATAAATCTACATTAAAACAATAATCACTGAGAATTTCTTATTTCTCTTTCCATAAGAAAATAATTTCATGAAAATATCAGAGCAGAAAACTAGAGCAAAGGAAAGTGATATTGTTGGAGAATGTTTCTTATCTGCCCAAATTCTCCCTTGGACAGAAAGTAGAAAAAATACTATCAAACTCTGACCTTTCGGCTGCCCTTTTTAGACTCCATTTAAGTAATGCCCATTTAATCATTTTAATTTTGAGTATTCCTCAATGTACTGCCATAAGTATTGAACACCCATGCTATTTTACTATTGGATTTAAGGACAGCAGAAGAGTATTAAAGAGAGAATTGCTTGACTCATCATTCCTTTAAAATGCCTAAAATTTAATAGTCCTGATACTAATTACCATTCTCAATTACAGACAATGATTTAAAATGCTATTCACCATCTGCTAGCAAATACATAACAATAATTGTAATTGGGACATAAGGTGATTTTCTTCATTATCAAATAATATTCATCTGTAACTATAATATCCAATGGAAATCAATAGGAAATAGTAGATGTTACAAGATTTAGTTTTAAAATATTGTTATTCTATGCAAAAATATAACTAAATATTTACAAAATTATTACTGAAGATAAACTTCCTAGTTTGAGATCAAAATGATCTTTTGTAAGCTCCAAATGTTTACAGTACAATCAAGATATTTGCAAATGGCACATACTTTTAAATTCCAGCATTTAATAACAGTGTAGGGATTTTTTAAAAAGGCCCAACTACTATAGTACTTACAAAATATTCATTTTATTAATAATTTACATACAAATAAATAAATTTAAAGAATTATGATACATTTGCACACTAAATTAAAATCCTACAACTGCTTATATCATCAAAAGCAACTAATCAGATTAATTTTCACACATCAGTTCCTCAATTTCATCTTCACTATCAGAATCTTCATAAAATGAAATTGTGGCTTGAATTGGAAAATTTTTCAGGAGAGCTTCTGCTTCTTGATATAAGTAATCATAACACTTTGATTTTGGCCAAAATAGTCTGAAAAAAGCAGACAACATAATACACTTTATCTTTTTTATATTTAGAATCTTTATACTCATGAAATGTTCAAAGTCAAGAACTCCATGTATTTTTAACAATTAATTTATACCCTTAAACACAGTCTTAAGATAATAGGTTTAAAAGTGCTACTTTCACAGCTTTGATAGAGTCTACTTGCCAAAGTATCAATAACTGATTGATTATTTTAAATCTTTATCCAAGTTGTAAATTGAGTCAAACAAATGCACATTGAACCCTGTGTAAACCTAAGATCAATATTTAGCTTACTTCAGGCATTATAGACATATTTATTCTTTTTTCCTTTTTTATTTTTTAAAAAATATATTTTATTGATTTTTTTACAGAGAAAAAGGGAAAGAGATAGAGAATTAGAAACATCGATGAGAGAGAAACATCAATCAGCTGCCTCCTGCACACTCCCCACTGGGGATGTGCCCGCAACCAAGGTACATGCCCTTGACCGGAATGGAACCCGGGACCCCTCAGTCCGCAGGCTGAAGCTCTATCCACTGAGCCAAACCGGTTTCAGCGATATATTTATTCTTTAACAAAACAGCAACAGGCTTGTCTTCAAATTTCCAAATTTCTTAGGGGAGAAAAATGAATCCTACTGTTACATTAAAATTTCTGACAGACACCTTAAAAACACACACACACACACACACACACACACACACACACACGCAATAAAATGTTATGCCCTTATAGAAATTACCTAGAATCTTGCTTAAAGCTCACACATTTAACTCTTACAGAAGTAGCCAATGTAAGTTTAGAAAAGTACAAAAAGCAATATTTTTAAAAGTTTGCTTATGCACTCACATCTTGAGGTATACCAAAGCTACCTCTGAGCCCAATCTTGATTCCATCTCCCTTCGCTTTCCCCATCCAATTAAATTTGGGACACAATATTGAGAATGAGAATGACACTGGTTTCATACAAATAATTCGCATGTAAACATGTTTATCTCATAATTTCAAATTTTTGAAAAATACCAAACTTGCCATCTGATCTATTCGTTTTCATCCACGGAAAGGAAAAGAGCAGGGATAAGGCTGAATGTCCAACAACAGTGTAGTCATTTCAGTGTAACTAGCCCATGAAGTCATGTAATAGAGTGACTCTAACAAAGAGATGGTACATTATGCTCAGTATACTCCATTTTAAAAGGAAAAAAAAAAAGGCAATGTAGTTTATAATTGTTTTAGCAATGTGGTACAAAATAGTTAATAACATTGATGTCAAATTATTAACTATTAATGATGCAGTCATTCAATAGATATTTCAGTGCTTTCTTATGCCGGATATAACTCATAATTCAAAGAGGAATAAATCACAATTCTTACCCTCAAGAAGTTGATAATTGGGTAAAAAGAATTAGAAACATGCAATACTACTCAAGATAGAAAATTTTTAAAGTAAAATAAACTTAAGAGAAGTACAAACATAATTCTATAGTAGTTCAGAATAGGAAAGAATTGCTGATATATGAAACAAATTGATTTTTTAATGTGTTACTGGAATTGCTCAACCCAAAGAAGCTTGTTCAATTGCTATCATATCCTCCCCAGAATGTCTCATTGGCCATTTTTCTTCCAGGCTCCCCATACATTCCTGAATTCCCCCTTCTGAATAAGTCTTCTCTGTCTCCTTTGTGGAGCTTCTTTCTTTATATACAGGTTAGGTGTTGGCTTTCCCTTATGGTTTATCACAAGTGATCATCTCCCTTCTTTGACTTCCCAGAATGACCTGACCCATTGCCATGATCTCTCCAACTGTTCATTTACCAAAACTCCCAAGTCTGCCTTTCCACTTAAGAACTTGATGATGAGTCCCTGAATTATATATGCAATTCCCTAATGGACATTGCCACTGGGATGCCCTGTAGGCACATTAAATACATTAAATACCATAAATGGAAACTGGACCCATTATCTTGCTTCCCAAATCTGTTTTAGCCCTAATTTCAATATATTAATACAGCATTCAACCTGGTCATCAGCCACAAACTTGAGAGCCATTCTGTCTTTTTACCTCTTCTTCATCTACCATAGCCATTATAAGCCTAAACCTCCTGTCACCTAGCTATACCCTAAACTCACCCAGTCCCATTCCACCTCCAAAGCCTGAGAATGGCTCCTTATCATTATTGTCTGAACAGCAGCAACGACTTCCAATTTCACATTGGCATCCTAAGACTACTAGTATATACCATTTCCTCTGTGATTTTTTCTGAAATATAAGTCTGATCACACTACTCTTCTGGTTAAAATCCTTTGAGTGATCCCCAATACTACCTACAGGACCAGGACAAAACTCTGTATCAAGGTGCACAAGATCTGGCCGCTGGCTTCCCAAATTCCAGCAACTTGATGCTCACAGAGGAGCCATGCTGTCCCATGGCCCTGTTATCTCTCTCCCTATGTTGTTTCTTCTGGCCCTGCCTTCCCCACCTGCAGACATTTGGCTGACTTAAAGACCACAACCTATAATACACTTCCCTGACTCTTCCCCACTCCCTGAAGTGTAACATTGACCAAATTGAACTCTCTCACAACACTTCCCAGGGCCCCCTGATCATTTTTTCCCCCTGTGTCCTGCACTAGTGCTAGCACACGGTAGGAAATTAAGCAACATGTTATTTATAAACACATACATATTCTACAAATTTCATATAGCTCGTCACCTAACAGCTCTCTGAAGCAGGCAAACTGCAAAAGATATCAATTCTGTCTCTAGTTGGCAAGTTGTCACTCAATGATAATTAGAAAATTATTTTGTGGGGGCAGAGTATGCATAGAATGATAATGATATCTTGAAAGTTTTGATACCAGAATAAAAGCTACAGAGAATCCTACAGAAAGGCGGGCCTCCTGTGATTAGAATAGGAAACTAGCTCCTCATTGTGATGCCCTACAACTTGTGATCCCTTTTATGACCCTTAGGGACCTTTAGAATGTTCATCACATTTCTATTTTCTCCTCTGGGTGGCAAGCTCACTTTGCTCCATTTGCTAGAAAACTGCAACTGTGAACATCTTCCTTCCTTCTGGTTTGCAGGAGAATAAGAATATACTAGTGCACACTTTGCCTGGCGTGAAGTCAATTGCATTGGGACCCCTGGAACTTAAAAAACAAACAACTTTTGCAGGCACACGATGTCAACGTTCAACTTTTACTGTATCATCATTCACTCTCCCTATTTGTACAAGATTCCTTAAGCTTTTACTGATTTAACAGATCTTCTAAGGGAGAGTGTGAGCGCCTACATTTTTCATTTCCATGAGTAAAAGACCCCTGGGATTGGGAAGACAAAGTAACCCTGAAGATACTATCTACAGGATTTTCCAACAGAAAAAAAAAAAAGAAAAAAAAAAAAAAAAAAAAAAAAAAAAGAAAAAAAGGCAGGACCAGCTGCTGAGCTGGGCTATGCAAAGTCTCTGGCTCTCTCCAGGGGCTGGAGCAGCAGGAGACCTTAGATTTGGCCTGTCACTCACCTGACTGGGTGTCTGTATCGAGAAAGCTTTCCAAAGGCTTCGGTCATCCAGGGCATCTGGGGACGTACGGAGATGAATCAGAGTTATCACTCTCCTTTTTCTAGAATCTGGAAACCCGCGCGCGGCCAAGCGTCCCTCGCGCCCTCAGGGCTCTCTGCAAGCCTCGCTTTTGGCCCGATCCCCGTGTCGCAATTGCTCTCATCAGCAACAGCACGGCCACGGGTAGGACCACAGGCCCGAGCGCGATCGTAAGCGAGGGGCTGGCCGGGCGCGTGTCTCCCTCGGGCCCGCGTCCACAGCCCCGGAGTGGCCCCTCCGGGGGCGCGGCCAGACACGCGCGGCTCACTCACCACCTCCCCGGCGCGGTGCGGGGCGCCCTCCTCCTCCTCCTCCTGCTTTCCTCGCGCGTCCACCCACGGCCTCCAGAAGCCTCCGGATCTGCGGGGTGGGGAGCAAAGGCGCGCACAGGAGCCGTGAGCCCAGGCTCGGCAGAACCGATCGCAGGCGAGCGTGGACCGCGGGGAAGCGGAGGTGGGGAGGGGAGGGGAGTGGAGGGCGGGGGCGGAGTGGAGGAGCTGGAGAGGCACGGGCTGGGCCGGAGGGATGCGGGAAAGGAAGTGCAGGGCGGTCAGGGCGGTACCCGGAGTCCGCGCTCCCGGGGCGCGAGGGGCCGTCGGGGGCCGCGGGCTGCAGGCGGCAGCGGTGCGCGCGCTCCGCGGTCTCCATGGCGCAGCGGGCTCCTGCCAGCTCCTGGGAAAGCCTGCCCCTTCCTTCACCAGCCGGGCCCGGGCCCCGCGCAGCTTATATAGCCTCCCCAGGCCTGCCGCCCATGGAGGGGTTCGCTCCCTCCCCGCCCCTCTCGGCCCCCATCGCCGCCGCAAAAACAAAAAGGCTGCGCGCGAAGGCAAAACGAGCTGGACCCGGGTGTGAACGCGTGGTGCAGCTCCCAAATGGCCCGGGAAGGGGTTTGTCGAGCGAGTGTTAATCGCTCTTTCACACATGGCTCCGGAGAGAAAAACAACATTCGCCCGAGCAGCCCATTTCCAAGTGAAAAGATTAGGAGGGGATAAAATTAAGGGATTCTACACGTTTTGTGTATTTCTGCAAATGGGCCAAGTGGCTGGTAATGAATGCTTGGCTCACCCAAGTCTCCAGGCTTTTTGGCCTTGGGCAAATGAAACGAGTTCTGCACCCCGTGCTGGAAAAATGGAAGGCGAATGCATAGAAAGGAATGGCCTTAACTTCTCTTTCCAGCATGATACAAGATGGGTGAATGAATGGGCCCCTTATAAAAAGAATATCTGTGTTCATACATCTGCCTATTATTATTTGAAGATTAATACGAAATTCAGAAGAGATAAATGGTACAACCTTAAATGTTCTAACCAAAGGGCCAGAAATAGAAGTCATAATACAATGTCGTGAAATTTCCCAACATATTATTTGTCCCCTGATGACAAGTCTTGAGTTTTACCTATAGAATTCTGTCTCTAGTTGGCAGTTTGTCACTCAATGATAATTAGAAAATTATTTTGTGGGGGCAGAGTATGCATAGAATGATAATGATATCTTGAAAGCTATGATATGGGGCAAGTTAGTCAACTTCTCTGTGACCTGTTTCTCTTGTTTAAATCACCCCTCAGGCACTACAGAGGTTCCTCAAGTGTGATAAGTGTCGTGTTTCAAAGGAGAGATGATATATAAATGCCATATTTTTCCAAAATGTTTTAAATATTAGAGCTGACTTCCGCTTAAAAGTTGAGGATAAAAAATAAACTTTGAATCTACATATAGTGTCTCTGCTATTCATTCAGTTACTCATAAGAAAAGAATCCATTGGGTTAATATCTAAGGCCTATTAGGAAAGTGAGATACAGTTTGCTTCATATAATGAAATCTGTAATGAGATGTACTTAGTGTCTGTTTCAATGCCCTAGATTCTAGGGCCTAGAACAGTGATTTTCAACCCTTTTCACCTCATGGCAAACATAAACTATGAAAAGTTTATGGCACACTAATAAATGTGTGTTTTTTCCAATCTAACAACAAAAAAATAGGTCTAATTTTGATTCATTCACACCAGATAGCTATTGTTGTGTTGGCTGTAGTCATTTTTTTTTTAATGTGACACTCTAAAGATAAAGAGGTCAGTGCCTCTGACTAAATAGGCACTGACCTCTTTATCTTGCACTCTATTAACAAATAAAAAACAACATCAAATCATCTGACCTGAAAAAAAAAATAACTCAGAAGTGATCTAATAGATTTTAGAAAGCTTAATAACACATAGGTGGAGAAGGCACCCAGGGGACAATCAGAAACATAAGGTCTAGAGGCCAGCAGGGAGTTTAGGCTAAAGATTTAGATGGAATCATAATAGACTAGGTGGCAACTAAAACTCTAGGAATTGATTGGTATTCCCAGATAAACTTTGTAGCTTGAAAACAGAACCAAGGACAGAGCTCTGGAGAGCAACATTTAATTGTAAACTGAGAAAGTATGAAAAATAAGTAAATAAAATAAATAAACAAAACAACTATGATCTCACTGAAAAGGGATGGTGAAGTTGGAAAAGGTACATTTGTGGAGCAGGTATGGTGGAAAACTGGAATGAAAGAATTTCAACAAGGAAGGAAAGGTCCAAGACATTAAGTGTCACCAAGGGGTCAACAAGATAAGGATATGTGTTAATTGAATTAGGCAATTAAGGAGTTTAAGTGACTTTAAAACAACATATTGCTTGTATGCAGATAGAAGCTTTTTTTTTTTTTTGTAAGCTGAACTGTAGAGGTAAAGAAATAAAAACAAGGGATGCTACCCTTTGAAGGGGAAAAAAGAATGAGAAGGAAAATTCTGAGTCAATAGAGGGAGTTTCTTTTTTAGGGTGCAAGAAAGAATAAGATAATGAGAGGAGGCAGGAGAACAGAGCCTCTAGAGAGAAGGGACTGGATGATGTCTTATGGTCCCCTAGGAGGAAGGAAGAAATGAGGTTAGTAGCCCTGAGGAAGATTCTTATGTGTCAGAGAATGTGCATTAGTGATATACAATGATCTATATATTATATAGAAAAGCCTAAGTGAACATCCAACCATCAGACTGTCTCCCTGGTGGCACAATGACCACCAGAAGGCAGATACCCTGACCAGTAGCTATGATGCGCACTGACCACCAGGGGGCAGAGGCTCAGAGCAGGAGCTGCCAAGCTGCGGTGACTTGGCAACTGAGGTTCTTAGGTGACCCACCCAGAACCAGAGAGGAGGGAGCCTGATTCCAGGGTGTGTCACCTGAGAATTGCCCTCTCACAATCTGGGACCGCTCAGGGGATGTCAGCGAGCCAGTTTTGGCCTGATCCCCGCAGGTCAGGCTGGGGGCCCCCACTGCACAAATCCGTGCACCAGGCCGCTAGTGTGTATATAAATGGTATATAAATGATGCAATTCATGTCTAGGAACCCTGGGTAAACAAGCTTAATCAAATATGGTATGGAAGAATGTTATAATGTGAGAGAACATCAATTGTCTTGAAATCATGAAAAACAAAATAGTGCATTACTAAAAAGAAAAAGGAAAAATCAATTGATAAATATATGGCAAGATTGACCAAGTTTAGCTAGACTAGGAAATATAAATACGGATTAATAGAGCTAGAAAATCCCAAATTTTCTATTTGTAAATTCTGTTTATGCCACCTATTTACACACGTGTTGAAACTGGCTTCCAGTGTGGGCAGGCCAATATTACTTATTCATGCTACATTTTAAATTTGTTTCAGAATTCTATGTGGTCCCCTCAGTGTATTTAAAATTGAGATATAATTGCCAAAACCGGTTTGGCTCAGTGGATAGAGCATTGGCTTGTGGACCAAAGGGTCCCAGGTTTGACTCAGGTCAAGGGCATGTACCTTGGTTGTGGACACATCCCCAGTGGGGGGGGGGTGCGGGAGGCAACTGATCGATATTTCTAACTCTCTGCCCCTCTCTCTTCCTCTCTGTAAAAAATTAATAAAAAATATTTTAAAAAATAAAAATGAATAAAATTGAGATATAATTGACATATAACATTATAATCATTTCATGTATAGTGATTTGATATTTGTATATTTTGTATATATTGCAAATGATCATTACAGGAAGTCTAGTTAACATCCATCACCATGCCAATTGTAAATTCTATTTCTTATGATGAGAAATTTTAAAACTTACTTTCTTAACAACTTCCAAACATGCAATAGAATATTACTAGCTATAGGCACCAGGCTATACATTACATGCCTGGGACTTCTTTTATAACTGAAAGTTTGTATCTTTTTACCACCTTCACCCATTCCACTCACCCCCACTCCCTGCCTCTCTCTGGTAACAACTAATCTATTCTCTATATCTGAGTTTGGTGCTTTGTTTTGCTTTATAAATTCCAAATATAAGTGAGATCCTTTTTATAGTGTCCCTGTTTGGTTTTGGTAACAGGGTAACATGAGTTTGGAAGTATTAACTCCTCTTCTATTTTTGGAACATATTTATTCTCTAAATGTTCAGAAGAGTTCACTAGTGAAGCTATCTTGGTTCTGGACTTTAGTTTGTTGAGAGCTTTATCTTCTTACTAGTCAATCTGTTCATATTTTGTTTCTTCATGGTTCAGTGTACATACTTTTGTAGGAAAATTAATCATTTGTCTCTGAATGCCAACAGAGTTAAGTTTATTAACATTTTAACATTTTATTCCAAATATATTATTTTTATGCAGAAAAGTTATGAAAAAAATCCAATACAAAACTCTAAACTTAATATGCATAAGGGATCTTTTTGGGAGTGATAGAAATGTCTAACATTGGATTGGTGTGATTGGTACACAACTCTATAACTTACTAAACACCATTACCCTGAGCAATTAAAATGGGTGCATTTTATGGTGGGCAAAGCACACCTCAAAATAAAAACTTCAAATATGACATTAAAGGATTTCTAACCACACTCAGTCTGGGCTTGAAGAACTAAACACCACAATCAAATTCAAGCCCATTTTAAATATTCCTGAGGTGTAGGTTTTTAAGAACATGCAACTTTGGAAGGAAAGTGGTTGTTGTAATGTCTATTAGAACTTTAGAATTGGTTTGAAGGCCTCTATTGCATTTACACTGGTCTCCAGACAGCTCTTAGGTAGTTTTACTGCAGGGCAATCTCCCTGACGCTCCATGTTGGATGTTCTGGTCAGAGCAGGTTCTTTAGAAAAGATTGTATTGGGGCTGCAATAAGGAGCTAGGCCTCCAACTATTGAGTGCAGGGACAAACCATCTGTCAGGTCTTTGTCAGTGAGGTCTCCACTATGGTGGGTTCGCCAGAACTCAGGAGCTCACAAGGAGGCCAGTGCAATAGGAGCATTTGCATCCCCCTAACTTGGGATTGAATTAAAGAGCAAGTTATTAGGAATCTTATTTTGCATCACGAAAAAGTTAACACATGAATGTATTCTAAAGTTATTAGTAAGCTAATATATCTCCCCCCCCTCCCCATTAAAATTGGAAGGGAATTTCTGTGGTCAACATTTTATGCTAAAAAAATCTCATTTGAGATCATTGATTTAATCGAAGTCTTTTTTTTTTTTTTTTTCAATTTGAAGATCAGATTCTTAGCGAAAGGTGGCTTTCCAAGCTTCAGGCACTTGAGAATCTTCCCAGGTTTAAGTAAAGATAACAGTTGTGGTACAAACTGCTTGGAACGGAGCAAAGCTAGCGTGTGTTGTTTTAAGCCAAGAAGGTGCTCACAGATGGCTCAGAGAGAGATTTAGCAAGTCTGTGCTAATCACACTCATACATGGGAATATCTCCATTGAAAACAGCCACATTTCCTTACCCTTCAAGTAATTTTCTTACTTGGTTAATAACAACAATTACATATATTATTAAAAGGCCTGAAGTAGTCCATGCTTTATGTTATAGTTACAGGTGGGTGTATATTATTAAAACCACAATGAGACTCCTGAGGCAACTCCAATGCCAAGTATATTGAAGGTACAAAATATTTGCAGATTTGTACAAAAAAACTACTATGAGTTCTTGATGGCTTCACTTCTAGACATTTCTAAACTTCTGTGCTGGTCCCAAACAGGTTCATTTTTCATACCTAATAAGCTATAAAAAATAAAAAATGTAGGAATATATCATTTGACATAAAAGAAATTTTCCTATATTTTACTGTTTACCACATTTGACAACTTATGTTAAGTATCTGTTAACTATTCAATTTTAATATTGTATGTTATTAAATATCAATGCCAAAACGTAATAAACATCAGGGTTTGGTTTTAAATTTTGCTTTCAGATATAGCATAAAATAGAGATAATTCAGAAGAGAAATCTAGACTCAAATATCTATTGATCAACCACTACGTGCCAGACACTGTATTAAGCTTTGTGCATACAGTATAGAATAAGACCAACGTATTTTCCAGCTCTCATAGTGTTTATATTCTAAATGGGAAACAGAAAATAAACAAATGCAAAAGGAGATAATTACGGATTTGCAAGAGTGCTATGGAAAGAATTAGAAGAGCGATTTAATACGAAGTAATTAGAGGAGGCCTCTTTTAAACAGGGTGGCCACGCAGAGCCTCTGAAGAGAGGACATTCAAACTAAGACATGGAAAAAAAAAAAAACTAACACAATTTCTAACTGATCTATAAACCATTCCTGCTATATAGCCAGACAACACAAAATCATAGCAGAAAATATGCACCTTCCTGAAGTT